AACTATGGGAAGTATGGTATACTGGTATACTCCTTGTTTTGGGTTTAGGGTTTAAGGTTCGGGGTTTAGGGCTTAGGGTGTTGGATTGCTGCAGCCAACGGTTACACGGATCTTCTGTGCGAGGCATCTGGTCCCGGATGGTTATCCGGGTTTCTTCAAACTTTAAATCCTTGCGGTGGATCGGAGGTGAAGTCTCGCCAGATCTCTCCGCCTGTGGTCTCAGCCTCACAGTTCAGGGCACTACCCTAAAAGCCTAAACCTGAATGCTTGCCTGAAGCGCGAAACCCTAAACTAAAAATCACCTAAACCCTAAACACTAAACCATAATTTCCCCCTTAGGTATCAAGCCCCAAACCCCTAAACCAAGATCGCCTAAACCCCAAATACTGAACCCTACACCCTAGGCCTCAAACCAGGTTCGCGTCTCGGGATCTGGAGGTTCACCTCGACGGCACGGACTGCGTTGCCCAGATCTGCCACGGAAAAGGTAGGTTCGCAAATCATACGCTATGGCATTTCTGAACTTTCTACGATGAACTATCTACTATCTACTCGTCTCTATACTCCATACTCCATACTCCATGTCTTCACTCTATGCTCTAGTCTATACTCTATACTCTACAGATTATAATGTACTCTATGTATATAATAGTCTACTATGAATTACAAGACTAGACTAGGCTAAACTCTAGACTAGACTATACTCGCTACTCGAAAACTCTATGCTCCATACTCGGCCTGTATACTGTACTGACATACTAGACCCTGTAGGCTCTAGACGCTATACCGTAAATTTTAGACTCTATACATCTCTATACTCTATACTCTACTATGCTATACGTACGACACGAAAACCAAGTGTGGCACGACACCATACACACCCAAGTCTTCGAACCCCGAAATATCAAAATCTCTAAAACCCAGCTCCCGAGTGTCTTGGATCCCAGAAGCCCTGAGGCCATGTAAACCCTAAACCCTGAACCCTAAACCCTAAACCCTAAACCCAAAGAGTTTCCACTTATCGAGCACAGTGCCCAACACGCACTGCAAACTTTTAACTCAAGTTGAGCCTGAGATGGCTGTCACTCCTGAACCCCAAGTCTGCGAGCATCGTCTAAATCCTATCCTTTTTCTGGCCACACAATGTAAACAGTAGTAGTAGTAGTAGTAG